CCCAGCCAGCGAATGCTGGCTGGGGAATTCTGGGAGTTGAAGTCCAGACATCTTCAAGTCGCCAAGGTTGAGAAACACTGTCCCAGATTGATGCAGATGGAATGGCATTGCCAGTTAAAACTCCAAACAGCTGCTGGCACTGTAGTTGCCCGCTAGGATTAATGCCCGGAACCCTTGAATTCTTCAGGCAATTTGCAAGGAGCTGAAATACTTCCGTTTGGTTATCTAACAAGGGCAGCAATTGTCTGGCGCGCAAATTGTGATCTGGTTATTTAGGACGAGCAGCCAGGGAGGGGCAGAGAATGGCAGGTAGCAACAGGTCCCCTATGTCAGCCCAGCACCCCAAAATAGCCTTGGCTGGATTGAGGTTAGTTTGTCGAACTGCTGAAACTTCAGATTGTGAGCTGTGAAGTTCCAGGCGGAGATGAGGGCGACCTCCTTTCTGCTGGAAAAGGCTTCAGGTAGCCATGGCTGCAAGCTTTCCCCCCACGCACCCCCCCTCTCTCTCACCTGCCCATATTTGAGGCAAGGCTTCCCACAGTCCTCTGTGTGATCCAAAGCTATTTTCTCTGCCCCTCAGAGGGATCGGCTGAAAGAGAGGTGGGGGGCCCTAAGGAGCCCCTGGAGCGACTAAAGGCCGAACTCGAAGCGCTGAGGCTGCTCGTCACAGACGCAAACAAGCACAGTGGTAGGTAATCCGGGGCAGCTGGATCCCTGGGAGAGGAAATGGGCAGAGGAGAGCGGAGGATTTCTCTGAGCCTCTCAGGTGGAGCACGCTGGCTGGGGAGTTCTGGGAGTTGAAGTCCGGGCATCTTGAAGTGGGCAACATCGAGAAAGTGCTCTCGTGTCATTGAGCAACATCGGGGGACCTCCGAGCTTTGGAAGGACATTGCGAGATGCGACTCTGAGCGAAACCCTGGGGCAGCCGGGCTCTGTCTCGGCAAAAGATCTGGGCAAATCTCTGCTCCGTTTCTGGTATATTGATTAAATGCAGTTCTCGCCCAGATCCATTTAGCTCAGGTAACATCTTTGTTTTGGAAGGCGTCCCTTGAGCCCAAAGCCTGTGGCTGCTTCTGTCCCTGGCAGGCGAAGGGCTTGCCAAGGATTTATAACGCTCACTAAGGAAATTCAGCAGCTCAGCAGGAACCATGTTGCCTTTCCTTCTGCTGCTCCTGGGGGGGTTCATGGGACCCTCCCCCCTGCTTCTCTGGCATGGGCTCCCCTGTGTTGCAGCCGTTCCAGCCCAGATGGCGGTGGTCTCTGGGAGGCTGATGGAGGCTTTGGGAGACGTGACCGATGGCGATGAAGCGGCATCCTTGACCTTGAGAGTCAGGCTGGACCTTTGGGCTCCTGAAGTTGGTGCAGCAGATCAAAGGGTGCGGAGGGGAGCGTGTGGCTGGGGTGGGCGGGGGGTCCGGAAGGGCCCTCTCGCTCCTTTGCAGCCATCGTCGCTTGGCTGGGCGCAGAGGTTCATCAGCCGAAAGGGGCAGACCTGAGCCGGCCTTGTCTGTGTTCCAGGCGGTGGATCTTCTGCTGGCCTCCTTCTGTCAGGGTGTAACGGCTGCCTCCTTCTTCCTGCCTCCTGACAGGTAAGACGGATTCTGGCTTATTTGCAGCGTCTGCGCTGAAACATCTCCCCCCCCCCCCCCCCCCCCTCATTCATCCTCGCTGTTGTGCCACAGTCCACTCTTTGTGTTCCCCGCAGGCAAGNATAAAAGGAAAAAAACCAGCTCACTTACCAGCAGGCAAAGTCAATCCAGAATGAATGTTAATACAAAGAACTGAGCAAATTAAAATGGTTAAATAGTCCCAGGGAAATATTTTTCAAAGAAAATTTTTTCCACATGAGCCAACCTCCAACGTCCGTGCCCCTCCCATCCAGGAAATCCAGGAAGGAACAGTTGCTACTCTAGCCAAACTATTTCCTGGGGCTCTATGGTACTGGGTCATTTTTTTCTTCTAAAAGTAAGTAAAATGGGTGGGTGGGGGTCCGTTTTCTTGCTTTAACGTTTTAACATCTTCAATGAAAGTACTGAGACAGAGAGAGGTTAGTCAGACAGAGTGTCTTTTATCTTGCCCCGGTTAGGATTTCTTAAGCAAATCCACTGGGCTTTCAACATGAAGCCAGAAAATCGGGACTTTTTTAAAACGCCCCGCAACACGGGACAAATTGTTAGAAATTGTGACTGTCCCGCTGAAATCGGGATGTCTGGTCACCTTACCTTAAGAGCACATTTTGTGTTTTCATTGTCACTTTTTCTTTTCCTATACATTTTTCCTAAGCACACTACTGATTACATTTGACATTACATAAAAGATGCCCCTTACTTTTTAGGAAGGACCAGTATAATATCTTTCAGAAATATTTTGCTCGTTCCCAAACTATTTAAGCTACATTTAACACTTTGTTATCCTCTATTAACAGTACTTTATTGCTGAAGCTATTCAAATGAACAGAGGTTTTTTATTTTATTTCATGAATTCACATATTCCCATTAGTGGCAACACACAACTGGTTGCCATAGGAATAGCTGTGTAACATTGCAATTAACAGAAGATTGCAAATTCAGCAAAACAATAAAATGGAGGAGAGGAACAGAAAAAATATCAATTCAATCAATATATTTAATATATTTAATAAGAAGCAAGCTGCAAATACTGTAACTGAGCACCTTATGTAGATATATTGTTTTTCAAAACAAAGCAATTTTTTTAAATCATAAGTTTGATAATAAAAGCTTATAAAAGCTCCTTTGAATCAAGCTCAGCTTCTGTTTTTTTTCACATAAAACAAAATTGCTTGTTAACTTATCATCTTGGTATTTTCTGGCAGTGTCTTATCTAAATTCCAATCAGATTCAAACTTGCTTAGCTTTTGGAGATCAAGCAGGCTAATCTCAGGCATGTTTGGGCATTAGTGAGTTGGATATTTGGTTTAATCTAGCACTTTCAAGAAACATCAAGTGCATGTGCAAGAGCTTTATCACTCTTTTCTGAGATTTTTGGGTACTTTACATATTTGTCAGCCCTACTAGGTAGACCAACAAGAAAATCAACTCACAGGAATTATATTGAGATTGCTTTAATAACAAAATTTTGCAAGTTTGATTACAGAGAGCCCTCAACTTACCATCACTTGTTTAGTGATCATTCAAAGTTACAACGGCATTGGAAAAAAAGTGATTTGTGACAATTTTTCATGCTTTTGATCCTTGCAGCATGGTTACATAATCAAAATTCAAACACTTGGCAACTGGCATGTATTTATGCCTGTTGCAGTGTTTGGGGATCATGTGATCACCTTTGGGGACCTTCAAGCAAAGTCAGTGGGGAATTCAGATTTATTTAACAACTGTGTTACTAACTTAACAACTTCAGTGACTTACTTAACATTGGTAGCAATAAAGATTGTAAAATGTGGCAAAACAACTGTCTTGGTTACCAATAGAAATTTTGGACTCAGTTGTGGTTGTAAGTTGTGACTAATTGTATGCTGCACCCCTTCCCCCTGAGCCATTTCTGGATGTTAAATTAGAACTAAAAATTTAAATTCTAAACTAATAACAAACATCAAAAGGTGAAAAAAAATTATCCTAAGGTGGCCATTTAATGATGGGGGAGTGTTCTCATGGGACTAGCCAGCCGCACAGTTGGGTGGTTTTCTGTGTCACTTAAAACTGTGTCAAGTTTTAACCCCTTTAAAAAGTATTAAAAGACAAATGTAATCTACCAATGGAATGAATGGAAATTGGTTGTAAGTTAAGAGGATATAAAAGGTTCTTGTGACAAGGGTAAAGATTTGTTACAGAATACTACAGGAAATGTCTGCAATCATGCTAATGGTTAATAGGAAAAGGATGTTTATTGGAATGATGAAGTGAAAGAGACTAGATGAAAAAGAAAAAAAAGTCATAGGAGATAATGTCTAGTGCCAAAATAAGAGAAGGTAAAAGATACTGAATAATGTAAATATAGAGAAAAAGACATGTTTCAAAGAAGACAATCAAAGAAAAGAAGGAACTGCTAACATTAAGAGAAATATTGAAAACGCAAACTGGTATTAATGGAAATAAAAAGTTGCTTTGAAGTGAATGAAGAAATCTAAATTTGCAATGAGTGAATGGAACTTTCAAAAAAGAAATAAAACATTTGGGATAAAACTGATGTGAGGGATTCCTAGAAGGGCTACTTTGTATGGAAATGATAGTAATATATCAAAAAATAGAATAGAAACAAATTCTGTAAATATTAGTGTCCCCAAAAAACCAATGAAAATATGTTTCATATCCTACAAAATGTTGAAATATTCTAAGGCTGTGTTGAGACTGAACAACTGAAGAATCATTAAAATGTAGGTGCAATTTGCTTAAATAATAACTATAACTACGTGAATTGTTTGAAATCCACATCTGCACCTGATAACTAAAAGTGAAAGGTAAAAGAATGAATGTGAAAACTGCAGGGATTTGTTTAATAATAATGTCTTGGAAGGTGCTTTGTTGAATTTTGAATGGGAGAGTACAAAAAACCCTAGTGCAGTGGATCTTTATCACAAGCAAGGGTTTTTCAGGACATACTCTATTTTTGCTCTTTAGATGTGTTTGAAAAGTATATGAATGTAAGAAAGAAAATTGATGTACATTACTTGATTTCGACAAAGTGCATAAGTGACTAGAGCTGAGTTAGGTAATGTTTTGTGTAAATATGCAGCTTTAGCAAGAATACAAGTCATGTTCCTGCAAAGTTGAGGTGATATTGAGATTGTTACCCATTATTTGAACATGTAAAAATATTTTATGCCATATAGGAACCAGGTTTTCAACTAGTAGTTGGATTAACATTGTAGATCAGTGATGGCCTAACAATAAGGAGTGAGCAATACTCTGTGGTTTCTAGTATATAAAAAAAATAACATCAGATCATTGTTTGTTACTGAATGCATTTCAGTTTTGTCTGTCATTGAAATAATTTCTCTTTCTTGGATTCAACCAAATTTCAACCATGGTGAGGGATTTCCTATTTATTTGAATAAATTTCAGTCCTTACTGTCAGATTTCCTATTTATTTGAATAAATTTCAGTCCTTACAGTCAGATGAATGATATCCTATTATGTTGGAGGTATTTTCTTATGGTTTGGCTGCAAGTTTGGTCTACTGCAGCGATGGCGAACCTTTTTGGCACGACACACCCAAGTCAGAACATGCGGGCAGGAACATTCATGTGTGTGTTCCAGACTGCCAGAAACCCAAAGACCAGCTGGCCAACGCGCACATATCTATTTTGGGGTGTTTTTTGACTGTTTTCTGGGCCATTTTTTCAGGCTATTTTCTGGCCCCAAAACAACCAGAAAATAGCCCAAAAATGCCATGGAAATCTGCACAAAAAATGCCCTGGTTTTTGGGCCCTTTCAGACTGTTTTCCATGCTCTGGCACCCATAAAGACCAGCTGGCTGTAAACTAGAAGAGCAGCTGATGATGGAGCACATGCCCACAGAGAGGGCTCTGCATGCCACACATGCCATAGGTTCACCATCACAGGTCTAGTGGTTAAGACACAGGCTAAAAAGTGGGAAATCAAGTCTTGCCTTAGTCATGAAAGCCAGCTGGATGACTTTGGGTGACAGTTGTTTTCTCTTTCAGCCCAAGCCATCTGACAGGGTTGCTGCGGAGAAAATAGGAAGAGGAAGGTGTGTGGGTAAAATAGGAAGAGGAAGATGTTTGTAAAAATAATAAATAAAAATAATAAAGATTTGTAAAATAAATAAATAAATAAATTTCTTTTGAAAAAAACTTCAGAGAACAACTAAGTGCCAGATAACAATAAGAGAACCTATCTTCATAAAAGCTAAAAAAGAGGATCAAAAGAAATAAAGACTGATCTATCTAGCATCAACACATAAAGTTTCTAGAAGAGGCCATAAAGTAGTAGACTTGTGAGCATCTTGAAAACTATAATTACCAGAATTCGGTATGCTTTTGTCAACAACATTTTTTTTCTTGCTAATATATTTATGTTTTTATTAGGTTTTGGTTTTTTTTGAAAGACTCTGGAAGTACTATAGACTTACATAGTATAATTTTCAACAAAGTATTAGAAAAAGTACCTCTGACATTTTGTTTAACAAGCTATTTAAGGTGTAGCATTAAAGAAAGACAACTGCTAATATGTTAACACTTTTAAATACCAGAAAGAATATCAAATGGAAAGTCAGTGTCTTAGTCTGGAATATAGAGTGGCTATATTAATTTTATATATTTTTTAAAAAAGTGAACAGAATGATGTATCCTGACTATTGTGTGGGGGGAGGAATTCCATAACCTGTAAGAGAACTTGACAGTTGAACCAATTTTCAAGACAAGTGATGGGTTTTCTATTGTTGGATGTGTTTAAGGGGAAGCTACCCAGTGTAGAATGTTAGTGTTGGATTATTACACTAAATAGATAGCTTGATTCAGTGTTCCCAATGACATCTGCAATCTGATTTTTTAGTTATCCTGTATTGATTTTTTTTGAGAAGGTTCTTAAATTTGGTTGTGAACTTGTGGATCTTCCTCCTGTAAGATTTTTTCTCAATCATTTTAAGTGAACAGATGAAAACTACAATCATGCAGATAATAAGATAACTTAGGAGATAGTTTCCAGCAGAAAAAAATATCTTTGTAATCAGGACAGTTAAAGAAAATCAAAGGCACATTGTATGATTCCATTACATAGATTTAAAAAATAGGAAAATGTGCGTCTCTTTTGAGATGATATAGCAGCAAGGAAATTGGATTTTTTTCCCTGTGTAATCCATCTATTGACAAGAATAGAAAAGTAGTTAGGAAGTGTGTTTTTCCTATTTCTGTCCATATCTAATGATTGCATTATTCTCTGTAAGTTCTTTGTCTGCCTATGTAAATTGAAAAATCCAGGGAGAAAATAAAGAGTAAAAGGCATTGTATTGATTTTCTTGGCATTTTAACCATTCAAGTCAGCAGCAACAACAAAGTGACAGTCATGATTGACGTAACAAGGTCACAACAGTTACAACAGAGCCTTTTCATCTAGCATCTAACCATCAATAACACATAAGGATCTATGTCTGCTAAAATAAAAAGGAAATATAAATTTAAAAATATGAAGTTGGTTAAGTTGAACATTTTTTTAAAAGTACAACTACTTTGAGTAACCTAAACCTTGTTTCACTTGAATAGGTTATTCCTATTTATGCAATATGTAGATAAGTGATTAATTTGATTGACATTTTAGTGCGATCTATGTTTAATGATCTAATTTTATATTTTAAGCCAATGTACAAATTGAATCTCTCATATCTTCAAAATAGGTAACCTTCCAAATTTTGCAATACAATTTACACACACACACACGCACACGCACACGCACACACACACACACACACACACACACACACAGGAAGAGGGAGAGGGAGAGAGAGAGAGAGAGATGAATTAGAAAAAATGTCAGTATAAAATATCTTAGAGAAAATTGCTTGTAAAGATGTGAGGAAATGTAGTAAAAATACAAGTATTTTAGCACAAACATTTAAAAACAACTTCTAAAGGTAGCGCAATCATTTAAAAACAACTTCTAAAGGTACTAAAGAAATGGGATGAATCAATAGAAAGATACCTGCAGAAAAATGAGATTTGAGAGAAAATATATTTTTTGTTTGTGGTATGTCAGGCCAAATATCCCTCTTTATTTTGAAAACTTTTTGGGGAAGCACAGTATTATACATGTCATCTTGATCTCCTGGAAAAATGCAGGATATAGATGCAATAAATAATTGTATTTGTACTTATGAAGTCATCACTATTTCTAAAGTCAATCATAAATTTAATTTAGTGAGAATGCTATGTATCCAAAGTGATGGGAGATGGATTGTCCGCAATATGTTCTATTTTAACTTTTCTGCTTCTTGGAGGGGAAAAAGTCCTGCATTTAATCATGGTTTTTTTTTTTCTGTTGATACTTTGCTTTTCTATTTCACTTAATTGCAGATTGAGTCTAAAGATGTTGGAGATGTTTACAAGATTCGGCTCAACTGTGATGATTTGGTAGACTTTGAGAGCTGGCATTTGAAGTCTTTGCAAATGAAAGAGCTATCTGGTAGACAAGAGGTGAACTTCGACTGCAACTGCTGGTTCTCCCATAGCCAAGAATGCAAAGATATGGTGAAGGAATTTCCTGCATTGAATGAAATCCAGAATACTTTATCAGGTAAAAAACGGGGAAGAAGTAGGAATACCATGAACTAGATTTAGCTTCTAGATTACTTTCTGATTCCTTTTGAATTCTTGATTGAATTCTTTTGATATTCATATGTCAATTGTTGATATAATTGCTTGGATTGATTTCCAGAGTTTAAAATACTGATTAATTTTTCAGCATGCTTCATAAATGATTTGTTAGTTCACTAAATGCATTGACTTATTTGTTTCCTTTTATAAACACGTGTATGTCTATATTTGTCTATGTTTGTAAAGTAAAATAAGTCAAAGCATTTAGTGAAATGGATGAATAAAATGAAATCATAATATACATTGTATCAACTATCCTAATCTATGAACATTATTGTCAGTTTTCAACAAGGAGCAAGAACAACAACAAATAACAGAAGTATCTCATCTTTGTTTTTAACTTCCAGTCACTAAAGTCCTCTCTTCCTTTCTTGCTTCTCCATTTGTGACTGGGTGGTATACAACAGAGCTACAAAAAATACTTGGCAAATAATAGCTGCCATATCTACTTATGTTGATGTCATATACAAACTTTAGTGCAGAGGCAACATATGAAAATGTCCTTGCTCGGATTAATGGAACCACAGTGGAACTTAACATTTTTTTTCACTCTTTTTGAACTTTCCATAAAAGTTAAGATAAAGTGGAGTAGGTGACAATACATGTTTGGTGCACAAAAGCTTTAAATACATATTGTGGATGTAAATGTGTTGTGGAGGGTTTCTCATGGTCATTCCAATCTTTTCTTTTAACTGATTTTTGTTGACTATCTTGCTCTTGCTAGTAGGACAGCAAATGATTATAGCAATGATAATATTGGCACAACTGTGCTGTTGTGAAGCCATTGAATTGGTTTTGGACTATGAATAGCTTTTTTTAAAATAGTGTTTCCATGTCCTCAATAGTGAGAACTGCAGAGAAACATGGGCAGCAGGTGGTAGTTGCTAATTATGTTGAATTTATTGCCAGGCTTTGAGACTGAACATTTTGTGAAGTATTTGAGTATTTTTTTTAAAGATACACATGCCTTTTCTTCATTGCAGATACAAGATGAAGGTATTTATGAGCTTCAAAATACAAACCTTAAATTTAGAAGAAGCTCATATCTTTTGATAGACAATGTCATAGTATGATTCCATTAACAGATTTTTTTTGCTAAGATAATACAAAGGTTTGTTTTTCTTATTCTTCCCACAAATCTGCTCCAGGGTTTTTTCTAAGTTATCATATTCAGGAGAAAAATGAGCTGTTTTCTTCTCACATTTCATCAGATACTATGGACAGGATAATCAACCAGCACATTTGAAGTTATCATTATTTCCTGATAGCTACTGCAAATAGTGGACTTAAAATGGAAAACTATAAAACAAATCTGAGATAGATGTCTGTAGATTCTCAAGCATCCAGGTCATGATTGTCCCAAAGATGCTTTTTAAAAGACAACCGGACTTTCTTGGGGGTTTTCCTTTTTGAAAACATTTCGCTTTTCATCCAACTGAATGGTGGGGAATGGAATGGAAGGACATATTATTTGCAGTCATCTGGTCTGTTAGCAGTCTGACAGTTATTGAGGCCACTTGAGGGTTTTTCTGTTCCCTCAAGGTTACCTGAATCAGAATGCAAAACGGGTGTGGCACTTTCTTGGTCCTGCTGAAAGGACTGTGTTATAAACAGGAGACACAATGTATCATATTCCACCCCTTCTGTTGAGAGAGGCTGTTTTAATATAGATGGCCTCTTTGACACATAGATGGCCTCTTTCACACCAGAGGTCTTCTCTGTCCAAAATACGGATATCTGGGAATTTGTCCTGAATCTATGGCCATTCTGGACAGAAAAGGTAATTAGAACAATTAATGAGTAGAATGACTTGCTTCCGGAAGTTGTGAGTGTTCCAACATTGGAAGTTTTAAAGAAGAAATTGGATAACCATTTGTCTGAAATGCCATAGGGTTCCTGCTTCAGCAGAAGGTTGGTCTAGAAAACCTTCAAGTTCCTTTTCAGTTTTGCTATTCTGAACAGTCCTCCCTCAACAGAGGGAAGAGATACGACGCCACCTATTTCCTGTCTACAATATAATGCCACCTATCTTCTCTCCTGTCACAGTCTCAAGAAGTTTCCACATTCATTTGTACTCTGATTCAGGTAACCCGGGGGTACAAATAAAACCCCAAGACTCAGAGCCTCAATGAATTTCAGAGAACTAACAATTGACGTTCAGAATGGTAATGACCAGATGACTGCAAAGAATATAATACTTCAGTTCCCCATCATTCAGTCATAACTGAAGAAGCTTCTTGATGAGAAGTTGAACATTTTCAAGGGAAACAAACCAAGAAAGTCCAGTTACCCTTTGAAAGTCTAGATGTTGAGACATCTAAAATGGATCAACAATGGGGAAAGCTCAGTACCACACATATCCAGGGACAGGATGGTAATACTTAAGCCTTATGATGTAGGTTAGAGAAGAACAGAAAAGTTTATCTGTACAATATGGGATACTTCACAGAGAAACCATAATCAGGGTTTCATCAATCATTCAGTCTCAAAGATACCAACACCTAAGAAACTTTAAGCCACAAAAAAGATAGAACCGCTAATATTTTAGAAGGAGGAAAATGTGATTGTAGGATTATTTGCTTAACTTCAGATCTCCTAACCCATACTATAGTAACACATTTTCTATAGTGCATACTATACAATACTATATGTATTTAAAGTAAGTCGTCCTGTTTTGATGGCAATATTTGGTTACCATTCCAATTGGTGACACCCACAATTTTATTTGAATTATATACTATATTTGAATTAAACATCCCGGTTTTCTTTTGGTGTGGTTTTTTTTTGGGGGGGGGGGGTTGCAAAGACGAGAAGGGTAGGAATTGGGGGTTTGGTTGAACAAACTGTATTTTGTTAGCACATTAAAATATATGTGTTTTTATATTTGTGCCTATAAATTAAAGCAATGCAGTGCAATGAGCACTGTTTATCTAACATTGCTTCTTTTTGCAGTACATAAATATATAGTCTCTGTACACACTGGAGATCTGTGGGGGTCAGAAACCTTTGCAAACATTTATATAACAGTTTATGGTGAACGAGGAGATACAGGTGTACGGAAACTCCAAGATTCCTTTATTGAAGGAGATAAATTTCAAAGGAACAAGGTAAAGGATAAAATACCAATATTATTTAAATATGAGCCAATAATAATCAAAATATAATAAATATTTGAATAAAGTATTAGCCTCTTACTTTGATGTAATTACTTTACAGTTTGTTACATGTGGAAGAGCAAACATTCCTTTCTTCCTGTTATAGGCTGGGCTCTGCCCTGCAGGGGTATTGCATAGCCATCAAGCATCATTTCAAAAGAGAAAATATCATGAAATAACAGGACAAAGGAAAGGAAACCAACCAACTTTGTGCTAGCCATGTTGAATACAGCACCAAGCAACCAAAGCTAATAATGAGTGGGGAGTTTGACATAGACTTTGATGAGTTTAATGAGTGGATCTAACTGATCTAACATATAGAACTCAAAACAACTCTTCAGATTAGTTTTTCTGTGTTATTAACCCAGCAAAGTAAAAGAAATATTTGCTTTCATTTCTAAGTAATATTCCTTTGCAAAGGTTATTTACAACTGGGTAGCCATTTTTTGATCCTCTGCTCTCTCTCTTCCAGCCTCCCTTCTCTCAAGAGGCCTCAGGGGAAATGACATACTTAAAATGATTCAAAAACTTGAGTTATTTTCCTACAAAAAACCATTGCAACCAAAATCATTATTTACTATTACTTTTTACTACACATATTTTTCTTCTTTTTTGGCAGTCTTGCCTTGTTATGTGTGTGGTGTAGCATGTCTTCTCCTATAGCTTATCTTCTAGTAATGAAACAATAGGCTTGCTCTTCTATGTGTACTAGAATTACAATCTTTCAGATTTCAGCAATTTATTTTGTTGGAATGATCTATTCAGTATAAGTAACCCTTTGAGTAGTTGCACCTTACATTAATTGTTAAGGTTAAATTTCTGTCGAAGATCTCTGGGTTTAAACATTGAATATTCATTGATGTGATTGAAGAGTCAATATTTAGATTTATTCATGGTATCTTTTATAAGGTGTACACATTTTGTATGTGACTTAAATTCATTTTTTTACAGGTGGACTCCTTTTTAATAGAAGCAGTCTCCTTGAGCCATTTAAAAAAGATAGTTGTAGGACATGATGGAGAAGGCTATGGTGCTGGAATATACTTAAAAATGGTAACCATTAAGAAATCAGAAACTTCTGACAAAGAATGGGTGTTTCCATGTTGGAACTGGCTAGACACTCATATGGGAATCTGTGACACTGTTTGTGAGTTTAAAACCATAGGTAGGTCTTTTTATTAACTAATCAAGTTGATCATATTTTACCTTCTAATTTGGCTAAATATACATAAAATGTTGATATAGTTTATTTCCAAGACTCAAAAATAACAATTGATTTTAAATAGTTGGAAATACAAAAAAATTATATAATAGCAACCTTGATTGTAGATTCTGAGATGTGATAGTAATATCTAAAATACTACTTTATTTTTCCATTGTGTCAAATGAGCTTTTTCTCTCTTAAATCAATATTGGTAACCATAATTTTATAAAGAATAGTATCACATACAGCATGTTCCTATTTATGTCCTGATTGCAAGTATATTTCATTGGACCCATTTGTTATGCCATCTGTCATTATTACTATTATACTAAATACTGTTTGCAGATGATACAGTTTGTGGAACATGGCTTACTTGGATGAGAACAATAAATTAGGACACTAAAGAATTCCTTAAGAATTATCTTTAGGAAAGAGACTGAAACCTAAGAGTTCTAAATCTGATATTTAAGATTAATAAAATGAGAATTACATGTTAAATCTTTAAAGGATAACTGTTCATTTATATTGTTGAGGTGTTATTCATGAATTGTTGTCATGGTTATAGCAAAAAGAACTCATCACTGTTCTATAATTCTGGCAAAATGAAGCTCTGTGTTTAAGTTCTATTGATAACAAATTAAGAACCTGAAAAATTCTTTGAAATCAGTGGAATTTAAGAATTATCTAGTAATACTTGCTGTTATTATTACTGCTTTAATTTATCTTAAGGTAAAAGAAGGATCTCCTCTTCAAGATATTCTCCAATTAATCAGCAGATATCAGGTTTATGGATAATGGATATCACCGGATCCGACGTAAATGCTGAAACTAATCCAATGCATTTTACTTTCAACTTTTATGGAGATAAAGGTCATAAAAAGTTGGCACTGCAACTTTTAGGAAAGACAACACAAATCAAAGTAATGTGCCTTTTATTTTAAGGAGAAACAAAAAACCTGTCATGGATTTTAAAAAGTCATGTAAAAATGTTATAGGTATAATGCATCTGGGGCTTGATAAAGGAGAAAAAAATAATGGTCTAAAAAACTGAAACTGTTCTATATACTAACATTAAATCCTGCAACAATTTCTTTGGAGGTAATTCCTCAGAGAAATAATCTTTTTTTAGGCAATGACCTCAAAAATGTTGGCATGTGAAATGATATGTTATTAAAAATAATAGTGGCACAGTTTCAATGAAGCCACACTTGTTTTTCACATCTCAGGATACAGTGGGATATAAATCAAAATTCTGGTCATTGCTTTATTGGAGGTACAAGTTTCTTCTACTATTGAATCCACGTAAATTTTCTTCTATTGCAGTGTTGAAAGCAGCACTCCAAAGAATGTTAGATAGTTTTGTCTAGTCAATTCAACACAATTTCAAGGACATTGTATAAGATTAAAATAATAGCCTATTTTAATTTCTATCTTTTCTGAGTGCTAAGCTAGAAAATGAATCCTATGGCAGGAAGGAGAAATGAACCCCTCATTTTTTTTCAATTCTGACAACTATCTAAGAATGTTGGTTAATGGATATTAGGTTTCATCTATTTCATTTATTTTTTAAAAACATGCATAGCATGGATATAAAATATAGGTACAAGGGGTATGAATAGTTCCCTTAAATTATTAATGCTGTTGCTGCGTTTAGACAGCATTTTATAAAGCCAATGTAACAAACAGTCTGCTGATATTAATCTTTTCAGGCCTATAAATGACAGATAATAAATCAATGACTCCATAAATTAAAACAAATTAAAATCAAGATGTGCTAGAGTTTAGAATTATATAAAATAATTTGCATTTAAACTAAAATAAGCATAGCCATTGACTATACAAATCAGAGAGTTGATGCTGATGGTTCTAAACATTATATGTGTATTATACCTCTTAAATATGTATTTCCTGAAGTGAACATTACATTTTTAATATCCAATATATGAATATCTTGCACAATTTCTTTAAAAAATTCTATAGAAGGAATGCTAATTTTCTAATATTTATCAAATTAAATATATAAAATTTATATACTTAATGTCCATAAAATAGCCATGGGAATCAACATGAAATATTTTTTTCAAGATTTTAATATCTACTTCAAATGCTGAAGAAGTGCCTTTTCCCCTATGGTTCTTTTTTTTATATAGTTAAGGGAAATTCTAGGCAGCAGCTTGAAATTATTGGTACCAAAAATAAAACTATAGATAAATTAAAACTTGAATTGTGCTATTTTGATTTTATTTCCCCAAATAAATAGGATGAATTGACAAATGTTGGATCACTTTTCAAGATTCAGATATCCAGTGACCAGGCTCAACTAAAGGAGTCCTGGCATATGAACATGTTGCATATGAAGCATACAGATACCAAACAAGAGATGTGGTTATATTTTGATTATTGGTTTAAACCCAATGAAGACACCTGTGTTGAACTCCCAGTATTTTTTGCAGGCCAAGATCCTTTGCTTGGTAAGATAATTTTGCTTTTCTAAAACAGAAGTTAAAAACCTTTGATAATGTTGCATAGTGACTGAATAAATATCCAAAGACTTATTTTAATGGAGATTGTAAAATGATGGATGTCACAAGTCCCTGAAGTTTTATTGGCAGAAGAAAATGGTTTGTCATTGGCTTCTTCCTAGATCTGAAAGGAATGACTGGCCCAAAGTCATGCAATTGGCTTCATGCCTAAGGCAAGACTAAAACTCACCATCTCCTGGTTTGTATCCTGGTATTTAACCACTACACCAACCTGGATCTTTACACATATTATAGCATTATCTTTATTCCATGAATTCAAAGGCCAAGCCATAAAACAATTGTCTAGTTGCAATGTTCAGAAAAATCAGATGCTGTAAACGCTTTTCAAAACAACTAGCTTTTGTTTTGTGTTGCAACAATCAAAATGGTCATTCTGAGAACAAGACATATAGCATATCCCTAGTCTAAACCATTTTAGCAGGGAAGTCATATCCTTCCAATTCCTCCATATTTCATGAGACATCTATCATAAAAGTCATGGTGGTGCAGTGGTTATAATGCAGTACTGGAGGCCTCTTCTATTGACTGCTGGCTGCCAGCAATTTGGCAGTTCAAATCTCACCATCTCAAGATTGACTCAGCCTTCCATCCTTCTGAAGTGGGTAAAATGGGTGGCCAGACGGTTGGGGGCAATATGCTAATTCTGTGAACCACTTAGAGAGGGCTGTAAGACACTGGGATGTGGTATATAAGTCTAAGTGCTATTGCTACGTGGATAAATCTGTCAAATCTACCTGTCCAAAACATTTATTTCCTGATACAAACGGTATAAAGCTGATATTGCAAATCTCAGGCTTTAAAGTAAACTTGAAGACTATTTAGTTCAACCCTCATCTGGACGCAGAAACTCCAGAATTCAAACATTCACAACAGATGATTGTCCAATTTCTAATCGAAGATCCTAAGAGAGAAAGGGCTCACCATTCTCCAGATGTAGGTTGGAACTTTATTTTATAGACCAATTGCTTGCTTTTATGAAGCAAGCAATCTCATAAAATAAAAGAAAATAAAAAGAAATTCCTGATTTCCCTTCCATGAGTACTTGCTCATCTATTTTGTGTTATGGTCCAGTCTATTGCAGCCCTTAAGTCACCCAGTTACCCCTTGCCAAATATTTAATACTTATTCTTGCCATTATTTAATGTCCCTTTTAATTTTTGTAATGTGTGTTTTCTTTTATGTTGTACGCTGCCCTGAGTTCTTGGGAGAAGGGCGTATATAAATCCAATAAAACTAAAACTAAACCACCCAGAAGTTCCCATTATTGTCCTGTGTGCTAAACTGCTGCTGATCATGATATTCTGTCACAATGTTTACTCTTATAACTTATTGAAAATAAACTGTGATTAACAATAATATTTTTTCATGATGTACATTATGATCAGTGGTATGTAAAAACCTAGCCATTAACTTGTGCTAGAGTCCTTCATATTTTAATTTTGCAGTGCCAGTGACATATTTCTTAAGGGTTTTGTTGTTTCAAAAAAATCATTCACACTTACTAATAAAGTGATTCACAAAATACCACAACATTTAAACTCATCCTTCAAAAAGAAAACCAGAAGCCTTGAAAAAAGTGATCCAAAATCCCAAAATAAATTCTACTCTGATATAGGGAAAATTCATTTTGAATCTTCTACCCATATATTGAAAAGTCAGAACATTCAATTTAGTGGGATAATTTGTGCTAGTCGTTCCCGACTCTATGGGGCAGTGCTCATCTCCATTTCAAAGCTGAAGAGCCAACACTGTCTGAAAACATCTCCATGGTCATGTGACCGACATAACTAAATGCCGAAGGTGCACAGAACACTGTTACCTTCCCACCAAAGGTGGTTTCTTTTTTTCCTATTTGCATTTTTACATGCTTTTGAACTGCTAGGTTGGCAGAAGCTAGGACAAGTAACGGGAGCTCACTCCATTATGCAGAGCTAGGGATTCGAACCGCCGAACTGCCGACCTTTCTGATTAACAAGCTCAGCGTCTTAGCTACTGAGCCACTGCATCCCTTTTTTACCTTAGCAACTACTGTATTTTTTGGAGTATAAGACACACCTTTTTCCCTTAAAAAAGAGGGTGAAAATCTGGGTGCATCTTATGCACTGAATACAGCATTTTTTGGCCTCCTGAAAACCCACCCCTTAACCAAAATGTTGTGCATAGCTTGTAGGAGGCTTTCAGAGAGCTCCTGGGGGCTGGGGAGGGCAGAAATGAGCAAAAAATGGCCCATTTTTTGCTCAATTTTGCACCCCCCCAGAACCACTCTATACGCTTCCTAATGCCCTGTTTTTGAACAAAAAAAGGGCCCGTTTTTGCAAAAAATGGGCCGCTTTTTGCTCAGTTTTGCCCCCATCCCCACCCCCTTAGGAACACTCTCCAAGCCTCCTAAGAGCTATTCATGCCCTTTTAAAAAAAAAACAACAACGGGCCCATTTTCGCTAAAATGGGGCTGTTTTGGGGAGGTTTGTAGAGTGCAAAAACTTTTTTTTTAATTTGCATCTTCAAAACCTTGGTGCGTCTTATACACCAAAAAATACAGTATATATATTCCACACTTGACACATTTTGAATTGCTTTTAAAAGTTTAAATATTACAAATTTTAAAATTTACAAATTTTAAATTCAAAATGGGAAAAATATACTGTACGCTGAAGATAATCTGTAATTGGAAATAATATTTTTGTTCATTCCATATATCACTGTATTATTAAAAATCTTGCATTCCCCAATTTCCCCAAATGAGTACTGCATTACAAAAAAGCAGGAAAAATGAAATGTGAAAATTAGTTTATTGAAACTGAACAACATCTGATGGCAGAGCTTAGATCTTTCATCAAGACATCTATTTTTCCACACATCCAATTAAAAAGAAATAATCTGCTGAAGGAACACCCAGAAATTTGGCACGGGGTACATGTAACAGCTTTTCATTTTGTGCACATATTAGAGCACATATCTCTAAAATGTGTCCTGTAGCTTGCTTGCGCAGCTTCAGAACTACCAAAGTTCATATTGCCTGATTTTTTTTTTCTCCCTGGTAAATGGAATGGAAAACTTTCTTCTTCTCAGCCTCTGCTTTTGCAGAAGGAAAACCAGATATATTTTGCTACCAAGGTTTAATGCAGTTTAATGAGAATGTCTTTGTACTCAGTCCTAGATGGAGAGAACACTAGTGCACTGTATATATAAATTCATTAATCTGATTTGAAGAGCAGTTATGCCAAAAACAGCAATAGAAACATCGCTTCATCAAGAATACAATTTGTCAGATCTCTGCACAGCCCTTTAAAAACTTTGGCCCAATTTTACTTTTCATCATACAGCAATGTAAACATAAAATCCCCACTGATAAATTATATTTATCTTTCCTAATTTAGCCACATTAATAAATAAATAGCATGTAAATAGCATGGAATGTCCATTGCCTACAGCTATGTCTGGATCTCTGCAAGACTTTTATCAAGATCCCTAATTATGTTTCTCATTAAAAGTTAATAGTGTTTACTAGACCAGCTTTCCTAATATGTCACTGTCCTGAGGTACTACTATTCCATATCTTAGAACTCATAGTCCACATCACTATACCATGGCTTCCATGAGTCTGATATTTATGGATACAGATATACCCCAGCATTCTATGGTGTGTTTCTTGACTGCTAGATCCTTTTCTATATATGGTTGCTCCTAAAAGGCAGAAGCTACCCATCCTTTCAATATCTTCATTTTCAATTCTAACCAAGTATGTACCAATGCTGGAGAATGCACAATGCTGGTTGGTGGAACATATGATCAACAAAGCAAATGTCTCAACTGATGAGAAAGGAAGAAGCTATATCAATTCAAAGAAAGAAGTTCTGCAACAGAAGCATGTTTTTAAATTTTGATTTGATTTGTATAGCCACCCATCTAAGAGAAAGTCTGGGCAGAGAAAATAAATAAAAACATAACTGAATTGTTCAGCTGAAATAACTCTTCTCTGGAGAACATAGAGGAGGTCCTTAAAATACAGGAATATTCATTACCAAGGCAATGATCAGAAAAAAGTGGGTTAACCGCAGGTCAGAAAAGTGATTTATGAAAATACGTCAGATGTCATCCACTCTTCAAGTGGCATGAAGAGAAAAGAGGGAGGAGGAGAAACAAAATACTGCTACTGTAACTGTTCTAGTCCGAACTACTTTATAGCGCTGTAACATAGTCAAACAGAAGACCAAATGCAGTGGATATGGGTAACAACTAGAAGCAAGAGACATGTACAAACTGGAATAGGAACACTTTTGGATTTCTACAGATGAAACAATTTCAGAGAATTCAGGAAAAGAAAGAAATCAGCAGAGCTAGTGACAGGATGATGGATCCCTAAAGGGTAGAAAGGATGCAACTGTGCCCTATAAAATACAAACAGGAAATAATGGCATTGTAATTGGTGATTCACTTCTATTCACTAAAATAAACATATGCTGACTGAATCCATAGGCCCGTGATGGCGAACCTATGGCACACATGCCAGAGGTGGCACACAGAGCCCTCTCTGTGGGCATGCACACTGTCGCCAGCTGCTCTTCCAAGTTTCATTGCATGCATGCACGCCAGACCAGCTTCTGGCATGCATGCATGCGATATAACCCATGCGCACCGGCCAGCAGCTCTCATCCAGGTTCCGGTGCTCTGGTGCATGTGCTTCAGTTTCTGCACTCCTGAAAAGTTTGTGCCGAAAAGTTTAACCATCACTGCCATAGGCACTGAAATGATCAAGAATGTGACAGAACAACTACTAAAATTATAAAAAGCAATGACAATTATCTTTTCCTGCTGAAATACATGGAAACAGAGAGTAGGGCAAGGACAACAAAATATCAATGTTGGAAGTAACTTCAAAGAGGGACATAAGAATACTATAAATCAGTGGCTGGGTATCAATATGGCATCAAAAGAGGAAATGTGGTTTCTGAAATTATGAGTTAATCTAGATAAAAGATTATTTACTCAAATCAGTTGTGCGTGTAGACACACACACACACACACACACACTATGTTCAGTCAAAGAATGGAAAGTTTGATTATAAGAACTTCAAGCTAAATTCTGTGGGAGAAAAAAATGAACACCCTGAAGTAAGGCCCTCAGGAAAAAAAATACTAAATAAAAAAGGAATGTTGGTGAAATAGGGCCTCTTAAACTACTCACTGAAAAATCATAAAGAATATTTGCTAATACAATTCTTGGCCTTCATCGTCTATACACTATTGTTCAGAATTTGAAGAAAAAATAATGTGAGTTTCAGTTCTGATGAACAGCAGTTACAGAATGGAATTTGTTCAAAAGGATCAGAAATCTTAGAAAATGGAAAGAAATTCTATTGTATGTTAAGAATATCCATTCTTGCTCAAAAATAAAAATGAATGAATATGACAATGATGTAAAGATTTTCTGGGGTTAAATAAGTTGAAGAACAATACTGTTGTCGGGATTCATTGTTACCCTTTTTACTCAAAAGAAAATGTGGCCACTATCTTACAAGAACAAAAACTCATGCAGTTGTAATGATGAAAGATTTTAATTATCCAAACAAATGTTTAGAGACAAACTCTGCCAAAAATGGTCTTTCAAGAACTATTGGTTATCTGTTTTGTGTCTTTTATTTTTCTCCCCCTCTCCCCCATTATTGATATGGATGGATCGGAGAATGCTAATCAGATCAGTAGATCATACAAAGCAAGGGAGAGGTGAACATAGCCCCTGGATCAGGGGGTGGCCCGTGGGCCAGATGCGTTATGTGCAAGCCACGCCCACCCCAGCTCTGCGAAGGGAAAAATATCATGAAACATCATGTGACAGAACGTGATCCACGAGTTTGTCATCCGTGCCCTAGATAGAATACCAAGGATAGAGGGACAAGTGAAAGTAAAAAGATGAAATAAAACAGAAAATGCAAAGTAATTAGAAAATACATTTTGAATATATTTTAAGGGGGATATTTGGTTTAGTAATACTACTCACAGAAAAGATCTTGGTAAATAATTGATTGGAGATTTATATTTATTAATAGTGCAATGTGGTTGCCATCTAATCTCAACAATTCTTCTCATTATAGTACTATATATTTCTTTTATTTACTTCAGTTGTTGAGTATTCTATCCAAGTACATACTGGAGACAGGAAGAAAGCTGGCGCCAGTGGCAATGTTTATTTTTGTATTTGTGGAGATAGAGGTGACTCAGGAAAACAATGGCTTAATAATTCTAAAACAGGACCAATCACTTTTGATAGAGGACAGGTAATACATATGTACGTATATATGTATTTATTATGTAATAGGTATGTATATGATTTTAATATAGATGTTTCAAGTGTAAAGAATAGTTTCCTTATTATGTAATGGCATGAAATGGAATTATGTTTAACCAAGTACTGATCAACTTTGCTGTGTTCACTTGTTTAGCCATCTTGCCTATTATTTTAATGCATTCTGTACTTTTGATTCAGATCTGTGTATAATCAGTATAAAGTAACAACCCTTTGCTACACTCAAAAAATGTGAACATAATTTTAATAAATGGCCTGTAGGTAGTGCTAACTAATCAACAATTGAGTCACATGTCTTTTGTTAACAGCAAATATATCCTATGATATCAGCTATGTTCAGATATATACAATTGATTTATCGTGATCTTAGCTATAGAATATTTGGAACAGCACCAGAAGTTGCTTTAAGAACTGCCTAGAGCTTAAGGGCAACCTATTCTTACATAGGTGGCAACTCTTGTCTTTCTTTCTCACTTCTCTCAAAAGTACAGAACACAGTAATGCTCTCAGTATTTCAAGGTCAGCTGAAGTGATGGCAACCATGAGTTGGCTTCAGATTGCTTCTGAGGAATTGGAGAGAAGAAATAGTGATTCTGAACATATTCGTTGCATGACTGATGAATAAATTTTGATGAGTATAAGCTGCCATAAATAGGACCAACATGAAATATCAAAACTTATAGGCAAAACTTGTTATGATGTGACAAGGACACAAGTTAATAATACAATGTTTTGCAGGAGATAGGGAAAGGAAAAGCAGTGAGGATTTAATGAGCAGTACATAATGCTATTTAAAATCAACATTTCTCTACCATCCATTATAGAAATCATATAAATTAAATGATGAATGCCTAAAAGAATCCTACTCTAGTCCAGTATATAACCTCTGAATAAGGTTAAATCTAAGATGCTTCAGAAGTAAGTAAAAATCAAAATTCATTGGATTTTATTTATTTGATTCTAGAAGCTCTGTTACTGGAACAATGAAGAAATCCAGGAAATACTGTACGCTTACATAACCCTATGATCTAATATTTGCAATAAAATGAAACTACTCACTGACACTTAAGATGTCAGCTTTATTGCACAACCTTTTGCTATGACCTTGCAAAAATGACTTATATATATTGAAATGTTTATCTGTGCAGGGGAAAGAAGTCATGTTTACTGAATTAACCATTAATAGCTGATAGACTTTGCTTCATACAAAATCAACTATATCAACTTTTCTCAAATTATAGATGGATGTTTACCAAATCAAAGCAGTGCATCTTGGGAAGCTGAATCAAGTCATTGTGGGATTCAAAGGTTTGAACAAAGGTATACTTTGTGAGAGAGGGAGGGAGGGGCAGAAACAGAGAGAGAATGTGGAATGAAAAGCGTTATAAGGAGTCCTGGAAAGACCATTGCATTGCTTTGGATAATAAGTAGAAAAACCAAACTAATGCAAATATTGCATAGAGGAATGGGGAAACAGCAACTCAGAATAATTAGGAAAAGTCACCAATCAATCAGAATACAGCTGGGAGGAACCTTTGAGGTTTTTTAGTCCATCCCCTTGCTCAAGCAGGAGAACATATGCCATTTCAGACAAGTGACTCTCCAGTCTCTTCTTAAAAATCTCCAGTGATGAAGCACCCACAACTTCTGATGGCAAGCTGTTCCACTCATTAATTGTTCTCACTGTTAAGAAGTTTCTCCTTAATTTCATATTGCTTCTCTTCTTAATTAGCTTCCATCCATTTTTTTTCTGGTGCTTTCGAAAATAAGTTTACTTCCACCCCATGGTGGGTTTCAAAATTTTTTGCAACCTACTCTGTGGGTGTGGCCTCCTTTGTGGGAGTGGATTGCTGGCCATGTGACCTGGTGGGAGTGGCTTGCCGGCCATGTGTTTTTCTCTCTCTCTCTTTCTCTCTCTCTCTTTCCTTCCTTTTGTCTCTCTGTCCCTTTTTTCTTTTTTTCTTTCATCTCTCTCACAGTTTCTTTCTTTCTTTCTTTCTTTCTTTTTCTTTCTCTCTCTCTCTTTGTCAGTCTGTGTGTGTGTGTGTGTGTGTATGTGTGTGTGTGGCACTGGTGGGTTTCAAAAATTTTTGGAACCTCTTCTGTAGGTGTGGCCTGCTTTCCGGGTCCACTGATGGAATCTCTTCTAACCGTTTCGGTAGATTTGACGAACTGGTTCTACCGAATAAGTGCGAACTGGTAGGAACCCACCTCTGCTCCACCACCTCTTTGTGGCAACCTCTCAAATACTGGAATACTGCTATCATGTTCTTCCTAGTCCTTCTTTTCTCTAGACTAGCCAAAGCCAAATCCTGCAACTGTTCTTCATATGTTTTTGTTTCCAGGCCTTTAATATCTTAGTTGCTCTTCTTTGTACTTTTTTCCAAAGTCTCAAACTCTTTTTTCTAAGGTAGTGACCAAAAATGGAAGCAGTATTCCAGGTGTGGTCTTCATAAGACTTTCTAAAACAATACTAATATTTCAT